ATACCCATATGAGATCGCTCATATGTGGAATTGGATACCAAAAACAAAACAAACAAACAAAAAAGCATAAATACAGGACAGAAATAGACTCACAGACAGAGAATACAGACTTGTGGTTACCAGGGGGGTGGAGGGTGGGAAGGGATAGACTGGGATTTTAAAATTGTAGAATAGATAAACAAGATTACACTGTATAGCACAGGGAAATATACACAAAATGTTATGATAACCCACAGAGAAAAAAATGTGACAATGAGTGTGTATATGTCCATGAATGACTGAGGGATTGTGCTGGACACTGGAATTTGACACAGCATTGTAAAATGATTATAAATCAATAAAAAATGTTAAAAAAAATTTGCAGTCATATATGGGACTTCATAGAGTCATTTGTAATGCATCCAATTTACAAATCACAAGACCCCATCTGAAGGGTGTAAGTGGCTCCCGGCCTCTGGCGGTGATCCCATGTCTCATGCCCAGCCCTCTTCCTTTTCTGCATCTGAGGGCGACAACCACCTTGTGAGCATCCTTCTCTGCTGTTTCCAGCCAGCCAATCAGAAGAAAGGTTGGACTGCATCTTTTGCTTTCCTTTGCTCCCAGAACGCAAAACAACAGACACCAAAGCGAGAGTAAAGCTAGTACCTTTCTCAATGCCGAGAGCAAACAAGGGCAGGACCAACTCATTTTTATCATCAGCAATTAAGCGTCCATATTCTTCTTAGAAAAAGAGACTTTCTCACATTCAAAATGATCAACTTTTTTGGAACTTGAGAACAACTGTTTTTGCCTCCCAGTGGGGTTCCCCAGACAATCATCTCATAGGTTGTTGGAAGAACCTCAGTTACACACTGCCTCAGCCTGAGGGTGTCTCAGAACATAACTTCAAAAAAGCCGGAGTATTTAACAGGGTGGAATATCTTAAACAGCATTTACATTTTTTTTGAATTGAAGTAGAGTTGCTTTACAACATTGTATTCCTTTCTGGTATACAACATAGCGATTCAGTTATACATATAAATATTCTTTTTCATTATAGGTTATTACAAGCTATTGAACATAGTTCCCTGTGCTATACAGTAGGACCTTGCTGTTTATCCATTTTATATATAGTAGTTTGTATCTATTAATCTCATACTCTTAATTTGTCCATCCCTTCGCCCTTTCCCCTTGAGTCACCATAAGTTTGTTTTCTATGTCTGTGAATCTGTTTCTGTTTTGTAAATAAGTTCATTTGTGTCGTTTTTTTGGATTTCACATATAAGTAATATCATCATACAGTATTTTTCTTTCTCTTTCTGGCTTACTTCACTTAGTATGATAATTGAACAGCATTTTTAAACAAAAAAACCAGGCAGTTTTTGCAGCTGTGAAATGATGTATTTTTAATGTGTATGCGTGTTTGATCTTGCTACTTCCCTCATACTATCCTTGTGCCCAGAGGCTAAGCTTACACTTAAACTTGTGAAATGGCCTATGAAAGTGAAAAAAGAAACAAAACATCTTCCTGAGGATGATAATGTTTTTTTTCCCAAACTAATCAATTAGTCACTCTTGTTCATTTGCTGAGAAAGAATTCCCCAAATCCTCAAGAGCATGTGTTTCGCTTATCATGAGCACGGGGGAAATGGCTCTTGCTTGAAAAGGATGAACAAAAATGACAAATTCAAAAGCCACAACCACTTGACTAGGGAGCCACTGCAAAGTTGAGCGAAATAAGCGTTCAAGGAACGAGATGAAGCTCAACTAGGTCATGGCGTGCCCTGCAGAGATTTGGATTTAAGAGGCTTAGCAAGTTAAACACTCTTAGCCCCTTCATTAGACTTTTCTCGCGCTTTAGCTGCTCATTTGTACATTGGTCTCCATTGTCTTCAACTGCGTCACAGATAACTGGATTTAATCTTCGTTCTCAAAAGGTGATTGAATCCAGGTCAAAACATTAAAGACCCAGCAGTCTGGTGAATTTAACGAGAACATCGATCCTTCGTTTTCAATATTGATGAAGTGGTTGTGGATACTGGTTATTGAGCACATCTGGCCCTTTGACCATCACGGAATGCCCCCATCACACTGCCTTCCTACCCCGCCCATCCCGCCTTCAGCCTCCTGGTGTGGGGGAGGGGAACTACTCGTTCCACTTGAAGATCACAGCTTCCTCAGGCTACTTGCAAAAGTGCCTGGGAAATTCAGCCCACGGGGCTCAGCTTGAGCCCATCGGCATGTCTTTCCTGCTCCAGGAAGTGCTCTGAACTCGGGGACAGGATAGCACTACCTAAAACACAACAGTGTTGCAGGGTCCTGGGGCTGCCAGAGGCACAGCCAGGGCCCATATTCTCTGGGACAACTCATAAATTGGCCAGCTCAGCTGTGTAGACACTTTCGAGAGTGTATCAGGAAAAACATGAGCTCTAGCACCCCACTTGCATGAATCCATCCCTGCAAGACCTGGACAACAAAGCAAGATCTCTCTCCCTTAAAAAGGGTTGGGAAGCAGTCTGACCTTCAGAGCTTCTTGTGAGCCTAGGATTTTTGCGTAGAGCTCGCAAAGTTTCTTCAACCTATGGGAAGAGAAGAGGAAAAGAAAAAAAAGTGAAAATGAAGAAGGAAGAAAAAGTGCAAGATCCATAGTAGCCCCTCATTCAAAATGATTCCAAGCTATTGCATCCACTGGAAAGTTCATTGCAATTTTTCAGAACAAGGCGCTTTGTTCTAGTTCAAACACTGGAAATTGATGAGGTCACAAATAGTATTAAAGAAAAAAAGTGATGCATTGTCTGCATCACTGGGGGCACATGGCAATTTGTTCATTCACTCAAGAAAACATTGTGTACCTCTTGTCAACCTCCTAAGCACTGGAGAGTCTGGGAGGACCGAGACAGGATTCTTGCTCACTCCGCTTTCTCCCCCATCCCACTGAGAAGCGATGGGCAAAGTGGAGCAGGAAAAGCTTCAAATTTGGATTCTGCCTCTTGCATGCTGTGAGGGCTTGAGCAGGTTACTTAAGCTCTCTGACTTTTAGTTTTAGCAACAAGCTGGCATGAGGTTTTCACTAATGGTGGTAAAACTGTGTGGTCCCTGGACCTGCAGCAGCAGGTGCATCATCTGGGGAACTTGTTAGAAATGCAAATTCTCAGGCCCCGCCCCAGACCTGCCAATTCAGAGACAGCAGTGGCAGCAAAGGGTCTTCACAAACCTTCCAGGTGATTAAGTTTGTGAGCAGCTGATATAAGGCATAGAAAGTTCCCAATTCAATAACTGGTACATAGTAAATGCTCAATAAATGGTAGCTCTTAAGATATTTAGTTTTATGGGTGAATGGGATGTGAGCCAAAAGTTATAATTAGTCAATTAAAGTATAAGCTTATAGCCATTTCCATTCTGATTTTTATAGTATTGTTAAAGAGGATCTTACAGATGATTTAGAGTTAAGGCCAATGATTTTCAAAAGTATTATGATTTTAAATCCAGGAGCTCTTTCTACAAACAAAGGTATGTGAAAATGTCTATTTTCCCCTCGTTTCTCCCCTCTGTTCCATCCCTCCTTCTTCCCATCCTTTCTTCCTTCCTTCTTTCTTCCCATCCTCCCTCTCTCTCTCTCTTTTTTTCTTCTTAATTTGTATTTACATAAATGGACTAGTTTGGCATAAGTAGAGGAATGGTTCTACAGAGTAGAGAAAATTAAATTTAGGAATAGAACCAAATACATAAGGGAATTTAGAATCATAAAGATGGGCATTTAAAACCCATGACAAAAAAGACAGATTATTCAATAAAATGGCCCTCAGACAAATGGCTACCCGTGAAAGAAACAAAGCTGGACTCCTATGTGACTCCTTCAAAATATATTTCAGAAAGATCAAAGATTTACACATAATGGATGAAATCAGAAAAGTAATGAAAAAATGGATAATTTAGAAAATAATCTTGGAATAGAAAAGTCTTTTCTATGCCTGATAGACCCTTCAGAAGTGATGATTTTACAAACTGATAAACTTCATAAAAAGTTAACTTCATAATAAGTTAAAACTTCATAAAAAGTTAAAATCATATTGCAGTAGAAATATAATATACTATACAGTATATTATATTATATATATTATATACAGTATAAATATAATATAATATAAATGAAGAAGCCGTAAATATGCTCAAAAGATAAACTGGGAAAAGATCTGTCCCAGGCATTGTCCCAGGCACTGGAGATCCAGCAGTGAACGATCCAGACAAAACTTCCTACCTTCATGGATCTGAATATTCTAGTGGGGACATTGTTAGGTGAGTGGCCCAGTGACGCCTCCATAGCCCAGGGCCAAGTGCAGTGGTGGCAATAGTCACAAAGCAGCCTGCTAATGGGGAGAGGGGATGTGTCATAATGTAATTCAAGGGCTCTGAGTCGTGGTGTGGGAATAGAAAATTGGTAGCGGTGAATACGAATTACTGGGAGAAATTGCCCCCTGCAGAGAAACAAGCCCCTTTGTACCTGCAATCTGTCACTGTTACACATCATTCATGAAGGATGTACTGCACACTGCCCTGCAATGCAGTCATTTGTCTTCCTGGTTATCTCCTCCCCAAGTCAATTTTCAGCTCCTGGGCTGTATCCATTTTTGTATTCTCCATAGCTCTTTGCATGGTATCTTATGTACAATAAACTCAATAAATATTATTTTGAATACTTGGTTCTTAAGATACCAGCACTGCGTCTTTATACAAGACCCTTGTAAGTAACATCATGGACAGGTAGTGCTGGGAATACTCATCGTATTAAACAGTCTTTAAGTCAGAAAGTTCAATAAAGTTGAAAGTCTGTAGAAAGAAGCAAAGGAGGAAAGAAAGGGAGAGGGGGTGTGGAGAGGGGCAGGAAGAAAGGGGACAGAGGAAGGGAGGGAGAGAAGGAGGGAAGAAAGAAAACGCACTTTTTCCCTTACCTTTCATCTTTGGTAAGACGGGCCAGTTTTCTGGCTTTGTGGGAAAGGATAAACCTAAAATATACAAACAAGAGAAAGGGGGGAAATGAATGGCTGCTTTCCTCCTGGCCTCATTTCTACACCGACACATGTGCCTAGTGTACAAGTTAAAAGTCAACCAGAAGAAACAAATTATACACTGTCTAACTTTTGATGTTTTACTGTTTATGTGTTATATTCCTGACACTAAAAGATACCTTCTAGCTTCAGGGATTCGAGGGACTAAAAACAAATGACTGGCCATCATTTCTGCCTAGGGTGATACCATGAGTGACCCAACTCCCCCTACATGACTGGCGGTCAATAGGAATACATACTGGGTTTCAAATGCCTATCTAAGATATGTCTGAGACTTTCCAATTTCATCCAGCCCTTGCTCTTAGGATCTATCTTCATGGTGGCATCTCCCTGATGCCCAGCCTTCTAGAATCCACCTCCATTTCTAGCCCTATGCTTGCCTTCAACTTTACAACTGGCTTTGATCTCCCTGTTCTGACCCTTGGCTCTCTCTGAAATAAACTCATACATATTCTAAGGTCCATCTCAATTTTGGCTGTTTTGGGTAGCCACCCCTCTGCCTCTGGGCCAAGTTCTGGCCCCCATGACATCCCCATCTGCATTGGTCTTCCTTCCCAAGTTGCGAACTGGCCTGGTCTTAGCTCCTCTCTGGTGGGAACTGGAAAATCTCAGCTTTCCACATAAATACCATAGATGCCCACACAGCCTCCACAAGAAGCCTTCTTAATAAAACACCGTAAGTCAAATCTTCATATCATGTTTTCACAAAAAAATAGCTTACCAGAGTATGTCAACCCCTGGCACTAAACATGAAGCAAAACAAACAAACAAAATCTCATATAACAAATTTTAAAATATTATTGATTTTCTAATTCCTTTCCAAGTATTTATTCATTGGAAGACATTATTTTTTTAAGCAATGTTTTTTTCTACTGCTGGATTTGGAGAATGATGGTGATGGATACAAAAAAAAATTATTGAATATTCTTTTTTATGGCTGAGTAGTATTCCTATATATAATATATATACCAATCTTCTTTATTCATTCATCTGTTGATGGACATTTAGGTTGTTTACATGTCTTAGATTTGCAGATACTAACTACTATATATAAAATGGACAAACAACAAGGTTGTACTGGATAGCACAGAGAACTATATTCAATATCTTATAATAACCTATAATGAAAAAGGATATGAAAAAGAGTGTGTGTGTATATATATATATATATATATATATATATATATATAAATGAATCATTATGCTGTTTACCAGAAACTAACACAACATTGTAAATCAACTATGCTTCAATTTTAAAAAATGATTGAACCAAGTTTGGGGCACATTTATGAATAGCATGGGATACACTGTCAACATAAACTATCACCCACACCACCACAACCATGCCTTACCCCATTATGGCAGCATAAGTTCCATCAGGTTTGGTATCATCCAACGTGTAGGCAACTGCAGCTTCTTCTCCTTCAATAATCATGGTTCCACAGTAATCTTGGAGAAGAGCAAAATGGAAAATGATATTCATCACCCTATCAAGTTACCCAAAACAGTTGCAATGAAGCACACCTTTTGCAACTTGAGAAGCCCAAAGGCTAAAAGTAAGCTAATATATTCAAAATATATGCAGGCAAACCAAACTGAAAGTCAAAAGGAAGGCTAAGTAGCCAGCATTGTGAAAAGCTCAAACTGTAAGCCCCTCTCTGCAAAGAAGCAATGTGATATTATGAATTAATCCAGGCCACCATTTCATGAAATCTTGTTTTCCTTGCCATTGATAAGCATGTCCCCTTTTTCCTCTTTCACAAGAAATCAGATAAAACCAAAGATGTGTAAAAGAAACGCTAGCCCATTCCTGCAAAATCGGAGGGACTGAACATTCACATTTTATGAGGAGCCACCTGTTCTTTGCTAACTAGATCTTGATTAGCTGAAGACAGGGCAGAGAGGACATGGATAATTCAAATGCAGAATCCCAAACCCTTATTTCAAACAGGACCTACAGAACAACTTGGGAAACAATTTCAGCTCATTCTGGACAAAAGCGCCCCTCTCATTCCCCTCCAGAACAAAATACATGTCATTTCAACAAAAGAATGCGACCGAGCAATGGCGAAAATGTCAGGGCAGAATTTGAAATGCTGTAAGAATATGCTACTACAGTGTATCACTCCTCTTGCTCTACCGTTTACTTGCAGATCGAGGTTGTTTGAACAAAATTATGGCGGAAGACCTTGGAATAAATGTTGTATAGAAAATCCAGTGAGAGGGTTTCAAAATGAGGAGGAAAGAACAGAGAAAGAACTTGGAGGGCACGCACTGCCCCGATCTGTATGTGAGCAGACGCACCCGTCTGGTTTCTACCTGCACTTCCTTCTCTCTCTCTCTCTCCTCCCACGACCCTCCCCACTTCACATTCCTGAGAATCAATGCCCTAGTTAGCCACTGGATGGAGGGGCAGTTGCATGTTCCTCAGGTGTACTGGGGCTAGGAAAAATCATTGAGAAAAACATAATGAAATATGGGAAGAAGAAATGGTTAACGTCTGTCCAAGAGCTCAAGAAGATTTAAGAATACAAGGGAAACAGCTAAGGAATCACTTTGTAATAAGAAGACAAGCAAGAGAGGAGACAAATGGGACAGGATGTGGTAGGAGAAGAGAGCAAGCGGCATGGGGGTGAGGGGGTGTAGCTCAGTGGTAGAGCGTGTGCTTAGCATGCACAAGGTCCTGGGTTCAACCCCCAGTACCTCCATTAAATAAATAAATGAACCTAATTACCTCCCTTTCCAAAATTTAAAAAAAGCAAGGGTACACTGGTCACGTGGGGGTCAGCTGGACCAGACAGAGGGCTCCTGGAGGACACCAGGTTGGCTGGGGTGAAGGCCCTGCTTTCTGGGTGGAGGGGCTCCTTGGACACTTCCTTCACAGAGCAAAGATGACCTCGGCATCACGCAGCTGCACTGGGCGGAAGTGAAGGAGCAAGGGGCAGAGAGAAGCATCCTGTTCATGCCAGGACAAACCATGTGGCATCAGTAGCACCTCTATCATTTGTAGGTAGAAAGCTCAGGAGCTCCGCCCATGCACAAAGGACTTCTGGTTACCTTGGTCCTGCCTCACTCTTAGAAGACATCTAACAAAGACTTTCAGCAAAAGAAGAAAAGACAAACGAAGAAACAAGCTAACAACAAACAAACAAAGGAACTCTCGGGGTGGGGGGGGGCACAAAAAGTAGGAGAAATGTTCCCAAAAGTGGCAAGTGACATCCTGAGGGAGAAAAGAGAAGATATTGTAGCTATGGGAGGCGATAAAGAGGAATATTCAGGATAAAATAATTCAATAGAAGTGTCTTGAGTGTGGGAGTGTGGAAGGAGGAGTTCTGAGAAAATGATCACATTCATCTAGAAGAATAATTGACATTTACCAAGGACAAAATTACAAGAAAAGAATATCCTACCAGATATCAAACATATTGTAAAGTCACAGGGATTCACATAGTAGAGTGTTACCATAGGATTCGATACTAGAAATCTGTGTTCTCCAAAGTAGGGTGCACACACCTAGATTACACATCTAGATAGTGGAGAAAGACATCAGAAATTCTTATTTTTCAATTTCAGCTATTCAAAAGTGTCCAGTATGTTTTGTAATAAAAACATTGTATCCAGTAGTCCATGTGCATAGTTTACAAATAAATATATTCAGTGGTAGTTGATGTTTAATTTTTAACACATAGGGCTATAAAAAAACATTTGGAGTCCAGTAACAAAGAACAGTGGAAAAGAATTTTTGGTCCAGAAAAGCCCCATGTATATATATTTCATAGTAGGATGAAATCAGCATAAACAATTTTTTAAAAACTGGTACACTGGGAAAAAATATTTACAACATATACAGAAAAAAATGTAAAGAGCACAGGATAAACAGATAATTTACAGAAAGTTTTAATATAACTCCGAAGCCTTATTAATGATGAAACTTACAAATGAGACATAAGTGGTATATTTTCCCCTACTGACTGGCAGAAAGTTAAAAAATATTATTAGCTGGTCTACCCAAGTCAGTTGACTTCGTAATTTCACTTTTACAAATTTATCAAAAGAAGAAAAATGCTCCCATACAAATCTGCAGAGCTATAAGAAGGAAGCTGTTTATTGCAGTGTAGTGTATAAGAGCAAAAACTTGGAAACAAATGAAACACCTATCATAAGCACAGCTACTGGGTACATTTTCATGGAGCCTACAGTGAAATACTGTTTATTCAATTGTCGAAATGAGGGGGATTAAAATGTAACTGATGTGGAGAAATATCTATAGCTTACCGCTAATAATAGCAAAGAGCAAACTTCAGCATAATGTGTATTTTTTAAAAAATAGTGGTTTGGGGAAAATATATAACATTTATTTAAAATTATATTTTCACATCAATGTTATACATATTCTTCAATATACATTGAAAGTCTATATATTTCAATATAGATGTACAATATATTTAATTTTTTAAAAACTTTTAAACTTTTTTTTAAATTTTATTTTTAAAATTTTATTTTTGGGGCGAGGTAATTAGGTTTATTTATTTTTAAGGGAGGTACTGGGGATTGAGCCCAGGACCTCAAGCATGCTAAGCAGGCACTCTACCACTGAGCTATACCCTCCTCCCTCAATATATTTAAAGTATCACTTATGTCTACGATGAATCTCTAAAGATAACAAACTTACACTTTCAACAGTGATTCCCTGGGCAGGGGGAGGCGTGGCAATAGGTGAGGGACCTTTTTCATACACTTCTATATTTTGAAAGTTTTAGAGTGAACAAGTTTACTTCTGTAATTTTTTTTTTTAAAAAGGAGGCACCACATTGGATGTGAGTTTGGGAGCCCTCCCCTGTGTTTCTATAATAGCCTGGGTGCTGCCAACAGTGTACTCAGCACATTGTAATGCAATTATTAGTTTACATGGACGTCTTCCCACAAAGTCTGGATTTTCTGGGCAAGGAAATATGCCTTTGAATCCCCAAGGTTGTACAATAGGTACTCAATAATGGTTAGTTGCAGAAATACATTAATATAGTAACACAAAAGAAACTGAAAATGCTATGGGGGAGGTTCTGACATCCTCAGTAATTTTTAGAGCATAATTCAAGGCCCATAATAAGGATCAAGTCAGACCCAACCTTTTGCGAGTGGAGAACTTGGGTTTTCTTTTTGACGCTACTGCCTAACAGTGAACTTGCCAGGCACACAGCAGCCCTAAGCTAAAGATTTGCTAACTTGAAGGAAAGCTAGAGGTATTTTCCACAAATAAAGGCGTTCTGAGTCATTAAAAGAAAACATCTCTATTCCAAGGTCCTAAACCTTATCTACTTGCCAGCACCCAGCTGCCTCAAACGGGTGACCTGGGTCACGCGAGGAAGCAAGTCCTTCATGGTGGGTCACTGCCCTGTCCTTTGCAAAAGGTAGATTACTTGTTCAATGGATGCACCAATCCAATAACCGTCCTAAACAGAATTTCCTGCAAAGGTGGAGAATTAGGAGGCTGCCATGTGGCAGAAAAGGGTAGGTAAGAATATGAAACCTTCCTCCCTTTGCCTCCAGCACAACTTTCCTCTTCTCTCTGCCATCTGGTTCCTCATTTCAGTGCATCTTTCCCTTCGCCCTCAGTCCCAGCTACTGACTGTTCTTACACGGTCCCCTCTTGGAAGAAAAGTAGATGTGATGAGAGTAAATATGGTAAGACTCTAGCACTGTGCTGTCTAATATAGTAGCCATTAGCCACATCTGGCTGTTTACATTTGAATTTAAAGCAATTCAAATGAAATAAAATGGAAAAATTCAGATTCTCAGTCTCACTCATCACATTTCAAGTGTTCATGACTCACACACGTGTTCAGAATCCACACCTTTGTGAATGGCTTTATAAATTCATACTTTAAAAACCTGTATTAGAAAATGTTAATAACTCATTTTCACAAGATTTTGTGAAAGAGTTAAGTAAACTTTATATTGAATTATAGAAAGAGTTGATCATATTCTAAAGGGAAGTTAATTCCATGAGTTTGTGTCAATGTACTTTATTTGATGGAACTGTACTTAGAACCTGGATGAATGTCTGATATCCAGCATTCTAAGAAAAACAGTTACATGCAAATACGTGACTTTGCACCAAGTTTCTTGGATCTTCTGCCAAAGAAAAGGACTCACCCTTTTTCCTCCAGAAGGGCTCTTCGTAATAAACTATACACTTGATGACTGAACCCAAGGGCACACGAGTGATCAGCTGATTTCTCATCATTGGCAGAGGAGGATTGAAATGAATCTTCATGCTCAGAACAGGAGGAACAGCGCTAATCACGTACTTAGCCTGGAAGGAAAACAGCAGGGTTAAACATTGTTGGGTTGTTTTTACTTTTTTCCTAATGTTTCTTCCTTATTTTACCCTTGTCCCTCATTCAATCTCTTCTTAACAGAGAAACCAGAAGAGTCTTATTAAAATCAAAATGAGCTTTTATTGTTCCCTAGTTCAAAACTGCCAATGACTTCCTATCACACTTGGAATCAAAGCCAAGTTCCTTACAGTGACTTTCAAGGTCATCCATGAAAGGTACCCCTGTCACATCTCTCATCGCATCTTCTGCTACTCTCCCCCTCAATCCTCTTAATTTCACCATTTTGACTGCCTTGCTGTTACTTCATCATGCCAAGCTTGCTCCTGCCTCAGGGCCTTTGCACTGGCTGGCTGCTCAGTCAACCTGAAAAACGATTCCCCAGAGAGCCATATGGCTCAATCCCTCACCTCTTTGGGTTCTGGACTCAAGCTTCAGACTTCCTTGATGACCTTATTTAAAATTGCATGACCAATTGTCCCATCCCACTTTCTGGTACACCCCTCCCTCTTCCTTATCACGATCTCGCATAGTCAGTATTTGAACTACATATTTGATTATGACTTTTTGCCTTCACTAGAATGTAAGTTACATGAAAGCAAAGAATTTATCTGTTTTGTTCACTGCTGTGTTCCCACCTCCTAGAATAATGCCAAGCACATAGGAGGCACTTGATATTTATCAAATAAATTTTTTTTTTGGTTTTCTACTTATATAGGAGCCCAATACAGAGGGGCGATAATAATATTATTTTTATAGATTTATTTTATAAATATATATATGTTCTCTTTCCCTTCCTTTCAGATAGAGGCAGCTTTTGCACTTTTGGCCAAGGCTTTGTCTGGGAAGTCTGGAATATTCTCAGCTTTACTTAAGCTCTGGTTATCTGTGGGACTCTGGCTTCTTCCCCCCAGTTTTGAGGCTCTTGGTTACCTCATACACCTCATGGTTGAGGGTCTCCACCAAGACGTGTTCTCCTGTCTGGTCAATGTGGATCACAGGCCGCTCCAACTTGACTCGGTCTCCAAGGAGGTCCATAATCCGTTCGCTCACTTGACCCGATCCACCCACAAATTTCCTCTCCTGGAAAGAAAAAAGGACTCCAGAGGTGGGTAGGGAATATAGGAAGGGATATGAAGTGCTAAGTTGCTAGTTTTCCGCACGTATCTTTACTGTGCGATGGATACGATTTCATTTGGCGCTTGGGAATGGCGTCTTTCACCATTGTTTTCTAACGAATGCTGGCTGGCTTTCGACAAAGTTACAGGTTTTCTAACAGTCACCTTCCAGGTTATGTTCTTGTGGCTTCTCAGGCTCCAAACTCCACTGTGTATCCTCTCCTCAGCCTGACCCCCATGTCCCACCTGCCTGGCCACTGCCCCTGCTCCGCGTCCTACCCACATCCTTTGGTTGGGTTGCCAAGTCTGGTGAGGCGCTCCTTAGAGCTGGACCAGCCCTTGTGTGAGCACATCTAGACCTGTTTCCCCTTTCCTTGTGACTCAGGCTCAGAACCTCACTGGCCCACCCACCCCCAGGCCCACCTACTCCCCGTGGCAGGCTAGCTGTCTCACCCTGGGCCAGGTACCTGCTCTTTCTGCAGGCCAATGAGGTCATTTCACCTCACTGCACCCACCTAACCCAAGCCCTGCTAAAGCTGCCAAATGTTCCGCAGGGTCATGTGCACGGTGGAACTGACTGCCTCCTAAATTTTCAGCTCAGTTAATTTTGAAAAAGATGGCTTCAAATAGGTCTACGAGGAAGGAGGTCATGGAGAAGGAGGAAGAAAAGGGTGCAGGGGAAGAGAAGAAGGAGGGCGATGGAAGGAGAAGGAGGATGGGGAGGAAAGGAAAATGACTATCAAGCAGATTATCTAAGAACTCGAATCCATCTCCTACTGTGCCTAGCACAGTGCCTTCCACGAGGCTGGTGCTCAGGAAGCAGGCAATGAATGAATGAAGCAATGAATGAATGACTTCCATGTGGTGTGTGTGTTTTAAATTAAAAATGCTTTTCAGACTTTCTCTGCTGGGTTTTCTGAGAAGTACTCAGTTTTGTTCATCCAATGGTCTCTTACAAATTTACCCAATAAAAATCGGATGTATAGCCAAATGGAAAATTGCAAAAGTACAGAAAAAGAGACAAGTCTAATCTTCAAATGACATTGGCCACTGGGTTGTCACATGGGGTACCTAACAACAGGCTGTCCCTTTCAAAAGTCACTTGGAGCTGCTACGATTAAGCTCTAAAAGCCACAAGCCTGCC